CAATATAGAAGCACTGAAACTTTCTGCATAACGCATATTCATTTTGTTATGCTTGGTAATAAATTTTACTCTTCCACTAGAGTGTTTTTAACTTTATCAGATGAAGAGGAATTTGATGGCCTGGCTCTGATAAGAAATGTAGCTTGTAATAATTCTTTTTTTAATGTATGCCTGCTCTATTCTATATAAGGGAAGCCATGCTCCTTTCTCACTGCACCAAGGTGAAATGCTGACCTATTACACGTAATGGTCTTGGTTCAGTCTTTACACAGTGAGATAACACTGACAACACTGAAGGCAGGAAAATAAAACACATTACCTTGGAATAATCCCTTTGTACCAGGTACCTACATTATTTGATCAGTATCATCAGTAAATGATGTGCTTTAATTTGTCACTGTAGTTTAAATTTCTAAGAGAAAGGACAAACTGGAAACATGAAAAATTACTAATTACAACATCTAAAATAGAAGCAGTAATGGAAGTGTCAACAATCTGACTGGGTCATCAGAGATTTCTGCAGTGATGAATAAGGAGCACTTCACTGCAGACTGGAGGAGAAGCTTTGGGCGATTTTTCAAAGCTTGAAGAACTTCTCAAGGAGTTACAAATGCTCATTTTTCTCCTATTCCTTCAATTATCATTAGAATATCTTGTGCCCTTTCTAATGGCTCCAATGAAATTCCAATAGCATTCACTGTAAAGAGACAGACCAAAGTACTTTTGTGTCCTATTCAAATCAGCAGGAGCTGGGCTTTCATATATCACTGCTGACTTAGACCTGTGGGATTAACCATGACATAAAGTATTTATCAAACCACTGATGTCCTGGAAAATAGGTGATTTCCTGCAGGAGACAGTGCTATACTACACAGAGATTGTTTTCAGTGTGACAGTAACCCTCCAACATGGCCACAATCTTCATCATACCTGATAGCTTCTGACCACTTACAAGCCTTGAAATAGCTTCAGAAAAATTCAGAAAGTGCTAAATCTGATAGCGTGAGAAATTTCAGTTTCTTAGACATACTGGATATTAAGGACAAGTATCTGAAAAAAAAAAAGACTTGGTGTAGCCTAAAAACATATTGGACCATTTTCAGACATTCCATATGGGCTCACTTATAAGTTCAGAAGCAAAAATATCAGGGAAAGATAAATATAACTAAAAAGGGAGGAAAAAAAATCTTTGAACTAATACAAACTTATAGAAATTTGTATTGCCTGGACTTTGCATGTAAAAACATACACATATGCCTACATCTCTATATGTACACGCATATACATAGCTTTTCCAGGAGACACAAGAAACTTCATTTAAAAGCTGTGGATAGAAAGAAATACAGAAGGAAGCTTTCTGAATAGCGTAAGAGAAAAAAACTTGTCAATAAGGAAAAAAATAACTTGGAGAAGAAAATATAAACAATGGCTAATGAGACTTGCTAAGCTTGTTTTTTCATTGCTATGAAGCAAAATAGAGAAATTATTTTAAATAAAAACTACAAAAAATATCTCAAACAACTCATACACCTCTGCTGAAAATCAGGTGTCTGTCCACCTGGAACAATTTCCAGGTCAAAAAACAACAGGTTCCCTACAAGACTAGCTCAGAAATACACCATTTTTTAATTTAAAGCACAAGGACAGGTTCAAACTGTGTTTTCAGTACATCTGTATTGTAGCAAAGATGCGAGTGCTTTTTCTACACTTCAGTGATTTGCCCTATAAAGGAACCAATTGCTATTCTCTGCTCCGCTCTGAGCAGCTGTACTCCTCCATTCCTTTAGAGACCGCAGGCAGCCTACAACAGGCACAGGCTGCTCCTTTACACCCAAGGCTTGGGGAAACGAGAGCAAGAAGCCTAAGCTACACCCTACAGATTTACCTTCAGAGAATTTAGAGCTACGTATTTTGATTTATACTGACAGGAAGGTTGTTTTTCTTGCTTTAGTAGCTCAATTAACATGACTCCCAACCCAGAGGCTCCTACAAACTAACTTGAGCCCTTCATTAGCCAGTTGCCAGGATTCAGCATTTTGTTTCAGCCTTTAACTGCCACAGCTGGTTGATTTGTCTACAGGCTGAAGGAAGTGCAATTACTCTGTAGACAGGTGCAACTGTTAGACAACTGAGTAATTCTGGGGCACAAGATGTACAGGCTGTCCTGCAGCTTTATACAAACCAGACAAATGGAGCCTCTTTGTAGCGGCAAGCCGCTGCATTCCTGATTTCCCCTTTGTCTGGAATCATGTATTTGGGTTCTTTGGGGCAGGACGATTCTGTAAGCAAAGAAGAAGACAGCCTAGTTTTCCAAGTTAATTTCTTTTCACAAATGTGGACAGGAGGAAGGTGGCAGAAGGTGGGATGTGACGTAAAAGCAGACGGAAATGCAGAACAGTTGCTTAGCACCTATCAAAGTCAGGCCCATTTCTTCACAAGATAGATGTGTATTTTAGTAACCACATTTAGGAATCTGCATTTGAGTTTGGGTCCCTAAATAACCTAAGTACATCAGAAGCTTTTTGGATGCATCACTGATGATTAAATAAACACAGATATTAAAAGTAGTAGGAATCCTGCTGCAGTCCTTGGCACACAGGGACACCTTCTGCTTTATATACACCCCTCATCGGAGCTTTACCATCTCCTTGGGAATGCCAGATCAGAAAAAAAGCATCACAGAAACTTAATTCTCAGCCAGTGGGACAATATGGGATCAGCCAGCAGCCTTCCTGCCTTTGTCTGAGCAAGAGATAAAAAATAAAGCTTGGAGTCAGAGACCATTGTCCAACCTAGGCTGTTTTATGTGGGCACGTGTGTGTTTTGGAACGGATCTGTAGCATCTATCCTGGACCTAACTGATACAACATGGCAGAACAGAGACAAACCAAGCATTTGAGATACTAAACAATAAGCCAGTGGAAATACCAAATTGACAGCCCAGGGCATTGTCTCAGAATTTTTTGGAAGCTAAAAACATTTCTTACACATTCCACTCTATTTCTTACTCAAGTAGGAAAACTCATCTGATGTGAGGAGCAAAAGATTACCCTGTGTAATGACACAGATAAGGGAGGCAACAGAAGCACTTAATTCCCATAAGCATCTCTTGCCTTTGTCTCAGCTTGCTTTTCATGCCTGGATTATGCTAGCAGCGTTAATCTTTGTGTCTGTGACTAACTCCTGGGTTTTTATGTTAGTGACCTGATTCTGCACTACCATGCTCCTCCCCATTCGGTGAAGCTCCCCATGTGATCTATTCTTCCCCCTAAATAAAGTTGAAAAATTTGGCTGCGCTCAGCGAGCGCTGCTGAGGGTGTGTGGAGTGGTTCCACCCTCCCCGCAGCTGCAGCGCAAGTACGGCGCCCGTTCAGCTGCTCTGCTGTAAAGAACGAGGGGCACGAGAGCACCCAGGCAGCAGGGGCTCGGGAACCTCCACAGTCAGGCTCCAGCTTCATGCCGCTGCTGGCGCTCCCCCTCTGAAAGTAGCCCAGCAGGCTGAGGAAGATGTGGCCGGAGAAGGTGAGTGCTGCATGGCTATGATAAATCCTTTGTGCGGAACCAGAGTCTCGTTAGGAAGAGGAGGGAGGAGGGGGCAGGCGTTGCAATCTTTTTTAAAATGAACAAAGTCAAAAGCCTTCCTTCCTTCCACATTATGCAGGCGTCTTTCAGAGGGAATCCAGATAATGAGCTGTTTTCCCGATTAAGCTGATTTTCCCATTATGGGGTGCAAAACACGGCAGCAATGAAAGCCTGAGCAATGAAACTGCCCGCTGCAGACGTGCTTCTTGCCTGGCTGGGCAGGCAGGTGCCTTGGAGAGCAGCTGCATCCGGCTCAGCCCTCCGCAGCCTCCCACCGGACAGCACGGCGCGGTGCTTGGCACGTGGGGCCGGCACGGTGCGGCACCCGATGCACAGGGCTGGCACAGCATGGCCGGTACCCAAGCGTGAAGGGTTGGCATGGCACGGCACCGCGGTACCGGCATGCGGAGCTGGCACGGCACAGCACTGTGCAGCACAGCATCCAGAGCTGCAGGAGCACGGCTCAAGACCCCCAGCCTCTTTGTTCGCCTGCAGCCCCAGGAGCCCCGGCCCTTTGCTCACCTACAAGACGTGCCTGCTCCTCGCCCTCCGTGCCCACAGTCAGTACATCTTGCAGTGCACGCAGACCAAACCCTGCAACACACACGAAGGGTTCCCTCGGTGCCCTGCATCCCCTCCCACTCCCAGTTAAAGCACTGCACTCGCTGCCTCTAATGTGTTACCTCACATGCATTTCACATAACTTGCCCCTAGTTTGGGATGTGATTTCAAGCTAAAACAAAAGTCAGTGTACACTAATAAGCGTTGAGTGCCTAAAGGAAGTCTTTATTCCCTTTTCCCCCACTGCCTACTCCTTTAGGCTCAGCGCAGGCACCAGCTGACCACAAGCTGGCTCTTTTTGCCCAAAAGACAAAGCACCTGTGCTTTAATTCTGGGAAAGGGGAGAAGAGGACAGCAGAGAAGAAGGGTGCTCACTGCTTATCTAGAACTCTCAGTTTCAACAGAGACTGTCCCAGTCCGTGTCGTGGGGAAATAAATGTGATCTTATTCCAGAAATGTACCAGGTAGCTGCATCACAAATGACATTCATCACTCCCCCTCTATCCCCCTCTGCTTCCTCCCACCCTTTAACTTGGTATTTCTCTTGCACAATTTTAAAGATAAAATCCCCAGAATGCTGAATATGTTGTAGTTCTAGACTGGAGCTACCCATCAAGAACAGGCACACTGGCTGGAAGGAGAAGAGTTTTCGTTTCAAATGAGTTGGATGAACATTTGAATGTTCAAACAATCTCCTGCTCTTTGGTACATTTAAAAAAATGTTATCCCTGCGGGAGTTTCAATCTTGGCAGATTTGATAGAAAGGCTGTAAAGTGTCCCATCCGTAATTGCATTCCTTACCAGCAGTAGGGAAACAGAAAAAAATGAGAAGATTAAAAAAGGAGGCAAGAGAGGGATAAAAAATAAACAGATTTCATTTGTTCATCTTCTTTTCACAACCAATTAGCCCAGAATCAGAATCTTCCTTCACCTGCAAAGAAAATGAGACTGTAATGAAAAGCCTACTGATTGTTTTCAAATCCTATTTTACAAAGCTTCTTAGGACTTTGTTCATTTGAATTCAGCCCTAAACTGTTTTCAAATTTTCACTTATCCTGGGATTCAAAAGAACAGTTAAACAGTCTGCTTGGACCTGGACTGGTGAGTATTTGCTCTGACACAAAAAAAATGTAAAACAGAGCATAAGAACAGATTGATCTCAGAAACAGACAAATAGAAAAAATCACAGAGTTGAAGCATCAGTGTGGACTAAGGAATTGGCTGTACTTCAAGATTTGTGTTTTCACATAATAACATTTAAAATACAAACTAATGGTAGAATTTACAGGTTGCCTCTCTAAGTCACAAGCTGTGACTGCCCTGAGTTTTGAAGGGTGTTTGGGAAGAACAGGGAAGAATGTTGTGCAAAAGAAATGAATACCAACTAAATTAGAAAAAAAGTAAGCACAAAAAAAAAATCTCAAAGAGAAAATAAAGCTTTTTTTTTTAATAGGATACATTTTACAGCTGGCAATAGAAGATTGCTCCTTTATTTTTTAAGGAAAACCAGAGAGTGGTTTATCTGGAAAATCCATCCTCTGAGAAGAGGAATGTTGTGTGCTGTCTTGAGAAAAGAAATCTTGACGTAGGTTTCACTGCATTTTAAAAAAACTAGTTCTAAATGAACATCACAAAGGAACAGATCTGCTCAACTGTTTAGAGAACAGCACTATGATACAGCACTGCTTTTCAAATTCAAACCCAAAAAAGTACATTCCAACCCCTTCCCCACACATGAGCACTTGGAAAGGCTGAAACCATGTATGTCTCTTCCCAACATGTTTTACTGCAGCATTCATAAGTCTCAGTCAGCCCATGCCAATTGGGAGCTTCTAATACTCAGTTTCAAATCTACCCTAAAAATGTAATACTAAGATTTCATTGATCAGGATGATAAACTTTCTTTACCCCACTATATAGTTGAACCAAGTACATCTATCTAGCACTGATTTGAGATGGGAATTTGGCAAGCATTCCATCTACAGCATGATTTAGCTGCAGTTTCTTAATGGTAACAGGCATCGGTAGCTTCCACAAGGATTTGAATTGTGCAGGCACAGAAAGCAGTATTTGCAAAAACGCGCAGTTACAAGAAGGCTGTAATCACACCTGAACAGACACTGGCATTTATCAAATCATATTTATACTGAGTGAGTGTGTTACACTATCATGAGGAGGAGGTAATCAAACCAGTGGGATAAGTATCGATTTCGGAGAGAGCTTAAGTGTTACGAGTCTGTTGCTTCAACTGCCCTACTCTTCAGCAATGACTTAATTAAAATTAAAACATTAAAAAAAAAAAGCAGAAGTAGTTCCATATGGGTTCTTATAAACTGAATGCCCAAGAAAATAGCATGTCACATTTACAGTCCACATTAAGCACAGGCACCTGCCCACATCGGTTGTTCCAGAATAACTCAAAAGCAAACATCCTAAGCAAAGCTTACAGCCTGCAGCTTCCATCCAAATCAGCAGAGGCTGTTTTGCTCAGCATCTCTCAGTGCAGAGGTAAGATGGTATCAGGATCTGCACTAAAGTTGTTTTTGTCATACACAGTCTATCCTTCAAAGTTATCAAAGCTTTTTGCAGCTTTAAGGAGAATCAGAATCCCAGTAGACATCATTCCTTTTACAGGAACAAGATTAAACCTTCTGTTGATTTACAGATCTGATCAATGCTGGAATGAGGTGATGCAAGTGCTTCTAAAACTTGCGATCTTTTCCTCCTCTTGCATCAGTAAGGAGGAAACTTCGAAACCAAAAGATAGTCAAAAAAACTTACACCGTATTCCAAGTGAACACAAAAGCATCTTTTCAAAGATGAAGATAGAGCAGGCTGAACAACTGTTAAAAGCAGTTTTCTTGCTCACTAGGATAAAAATTGGGTAAAGCATTGTAAAAGACAGGGGCAGAAGTTTATACCCTTAATTAAAAAACAGACCGACTTGTTTAAATTTGCATTGAAGCTGCCTGTTATCTCACTGCACGTAACAGTAAGGCTATCAGCAAATTAAGTTTCTGAGGAATGATTCAGTGTAAATATCTAATACAGATCAAATTTGGATTTTGTTTTTAGATTTACAAGGAAGACTAACAAAAAAAAAAAAAGGTTGTTTCATTTTAGGATCACTCCAATAAATCTATGGTGCTTAACTCTTACAAATCCAGCAATGTGTTATAAACACACCTGAAGTATGTTGCTGTGCTGCAGCAACCCAATCTTTATTATTTAAGCCCATACCCTAAGTGCACAGAACCTGGGAATTATGAAACCAAGCTGGCTCTCAGCTGAAATCTGATCAGACTTGAAACCTCAAGATTTCCAAATGTATTTTAAGCATTCAAAGATAAAGACAGATCTGCACTGATATGTTTGAGCATTTTGAAAATCAAAGAATCATACAGTGGCTTAGGTTGGTGAGGACCTTGAAGATCATCCAGTTCATATCCCCTGCCGCAGGCAGGATTGCCACCCACCATATCAGTGTGCCCAGGTCCCCATCCAGCCTGGCCTTAAATGCCTCCATGCATGGGGCACCCACAGCTTCCCTGGGCAGCATTGCCAGTGCTTCACCACCTTCTGAATAAACTTCTCCCTAATATCTTACCTAAATTTCCCCTCTTTTACTTCTAAGTCATTCCTCTTGTCCAGTTAGGTAATGCAAAAAGTGTCAAATGTCTTCGGCGGTCTTATTTACATACTTAAAATACCCATGAAATCTGTCCCTTGTTCTTATATAGAAGTTTACAGATGATGTAGTGAAAAAGAAGTAGCAACTTACTGCTACACTTCACTTTCTGAAGTCCTTCCTCCCTTCTGCTGTTCTTCCATTCCTTCCTCCCTCATCTCTGCTTTCATTTGCTCTCACTCCCACTCCAGCTTTCATCTGCAATTTTGTGCACAAATGTATTAGTAGATTGCCTTGCTACTCTAGCTCTGAAGGAAAAGAATCATTTACATATCAGGTTTAGTATATGATGGATACATTTCATACAAATGTTTTCACATCAAAAAGATGCAAATATGGAGAGAGGAAGCACAATCTTCTGTAATGCAATAAAAACAGAAGATACAATTTGAAAGGCAGCAAAAAATTTACAAGTTGAAGGCAGAAAGAAAGCAAGCCTAAAACTACATTAAAAAGCCAATACTTAATAAAGATGATAGAAATGCTAGAAGGAATTCAGCATTTGATTTGAAAATGCTCTGAATGCTTGAGTACATGAAAGAGACACACAAGATAGAAACCAAAGATTCTCCTCCTCCTGGAATCAAAGAGATTTTTGATATTAATTCACAAGGAGTAAGTTTATAGTTTCAGGTCAGTGATCTTTGAAAAGATGCTTTTCTGTTCACTTGAGAACAGTATCATAACATCGCCTCGCTTTCTGCTGGTTTACATGTGCTTATCAGCCTTTCTTCCTCTGTGAATAAAACCAAAAAGTCACAGGAAAGAAGTCTGACTTAACCTAAAGATTAACAATTGGCTTCCTACTAAAACAGCAAAACTGCAGTACCTCACTTAAAATCTCTGGTCCTCATTCTTTCAATGAAGCTGATGATTTCAGATGCTCACAGAACGCAGTCATTCCTTCAGCTGAAACAAAGAATCAGAAAACAGTTATCCAGACAGGAAAAAAAGAAAAAAAACATTGGCAACTAAAACTCCATACAAGTGCAAGTCTGGCCTCCAAATGAGCATTGTGAATTTATGTGCTTTTAAGGATTCAGTATAAGTTCTCATTATTCTTTTCATTAACAACACTAGTGACAACATTATTCATTACCAAATCACTTTCAGAGGGGTAAGTTTTGCCCACTTAAAGTGGCAAGGATTCTCAGTGAAATAAAAAAAAGCTGATGATCAACATTCTTTCTTTTTTTCATAACTCAGCATTTGACAGACACCAATAACTACAAGAACATTTGAGATTAATTTGTCACTAATTTGCCCTTCATTTCTCCCCTGTAAGTTGCATGTAACCTTCAGAAATCAAGCTTGGAAAACCAAACAAAAGGCAGCGGCTGTCTCGTGGACATTACAAAATGAGGAGCAAATTTTGTCCTTCTGAGCTTATACCAACTTTTGCTTTACATCATATATTAGCTTGCTAAGACACAAAGATATGGAAACATGAGCCACAGTGCCAACGCACGTGTCTAGGTGAGGACAAAACCCATGTAATTAGCTTACAGATATTTTAACATGCTTTCATTAAAAGCATTAAAAGTTTGTTCAAACAAACCCAGTTCACTGTTTGTTCCTGGCCAAAAATCACTTTTTTTTCTTTTGTAAATACCTGAACCATTCTAATATATGCTATTAAATGTTAATGGAAATTCCTCAGATACTAGTTTGCATATTTATAATTCTCAGACAAAACACACTGTAGACTTATGACTCACACATGCAAACAACCCAACAATGTAAGAACAATTTATTCTCTGTTTGATTTAAATCAGAGCATAGATACTGAAGAATGCTTTGGGTATTTTTTAATGGAAAATTTCCTCAAGAGAACATGCAGACAATGAGTCTTCAGTTGTTGGAAACTTGAAACATGCATTCAGTGTGTGTGTACTTAATACAACTATTACAGTTAATGTGAACAGTCCTCTCTAAACTTAAACATAATGCTAGAGGCTTGACGCTTTTTCAGAAACCAAAGTCTCAGATACTGTAATGTGAGCTATGCTATGACATTTACCACTGCTGCTACTGTTGTCTCTCCAGTGCTGTGTAGAAGTGAATAACCATCTTCTCAGGTGGCTAGAGATGCTCTTTATAATGCATCTCAGGGTGCCCTTGAGCATGCAGCTGGTTCACGTTCAGCTAGGTATCCACCAGAACCCCAGGTCCCCAGGCTCTGCAAAATTGCTTCCTAGCTGGGTGGCCATCAACGCACACTTTGCATAAGGTTATTCCTCTCCAGGATCATGTCTTTGCATTTCCCCTCGTTAAACTTTGTGTTACTTCCCCTCTACCCACTTCTCCAGCCTCACCATGCCCCAATCTTCACAGTTCTCCAGCCCTTACTAGTTTAGGACTTTACCAATTTGATTAGGGAGGAGGCCTTCAGCCAGTACAAGTGAAGATTAAGACTCCTTTGAAGAAGTTATGCCAGGCATACAAACTGTCATGTTATTCAGTCATTGTTCAAACCAGGTGACATCACAACAGTAAGCTCAAACCAGTTTGGGCAGTGTGCTGGCTTGAAAGAAATCCTACTTCCCACCTCTCTGAGTTTCTTGCATTCATGACAGAAAATACAACAGTGGATTAAAAAAGCTCAGTTTTTCATCCCTGTATTTTTTTCTGATTCAGATACAGCACGTTACTGCAGAGTGTGAGGCTCTCAATGACACTACAGCTTTCATTGGGAGAAAAATATAATAATATCAAGGAATGAGGTAAAGCAATCTTTGACCCCAATAAGTTTTAAAAATAAACAAAATAAACAAAAAAGGAGAGTTAGCAGTTATTACCTCCTGAGCTGGAAGATAGGGATGGGGAGCAAAATAAACCCCTCATAGTTGTTTCATAGAGGAAACAGTTAGCAACCTGCTACTCTACCTGGACTGTCACAAGTCCATATGGCCATATGGGATCCACTCAAGGGTGCTAAACTAGCTGGAAGAAGTAGTTGCCAAGACAGTCCTAGTCAACTGGGGAGGTTCCAGGAAACAAGGCAAATGTGATCCTGACTATATAAATCATTGGAAGAAGGAACTATAGACTGGTCAGCCTGACCTCAGTACTGGGAAAGGTCATGGAACAGTATCTTGAATGATATGACAAAGTATGTGTGATCCAGAGGATCAGGTCTAGCCAGCATAGATTCGGGTCCTGCTCGACCACCCTCCTCTCCTTCTATGACCATGTGGGGCAGAGTGACTAGCAAACTGTATAGAAAAAAAGGATCTGGGCTGTTAATTGACAGCCAGCTGAACATGAGCCACAAGTGTGCCCAAGTGGCCAAGAATGCCAATGGCATTCCAGTTTGTATCAGAAATAGTGCAGCCAGCAGGAGCAGGGACGTGACTATACCCTTGTACGCAGCTCTGGTGAGGCCACATCTCAAGTACTATATTCAGTACCAGGCCCCTCACTGCAAGAAAACCATTGAGGCCCTGGAGCACATCCACAGAAGGGCAACAAAGCTATGTGGAGCACAGATGTAATGTAGAGGCTAAGGGAAATGGGATTGTTTAGTCTGGAAAAGAGAAGGCTGAGGGGAGACCTTACCACTCCCTACAACTCCCTGAAAGGAGACTGTGGGGGTGGGGAGGGTCAGCTTCTTTTCTCAGGTAATTAGTGATAGAACAGGTAATGGCCTCAAATTGCACTGGGGAGGTTCAGGTTGGATATCAGGAAAATTCTCAGAAGGACTGGAGAGGCACTGGCACAGGCTGCCTAGGGAGGCAGTAGAGTCACCGTTGCCAGAAGTTTTCAAGAAATGTGTAGATACAGCACAAGGGACAGGGTTAGTGAAAATGGCTTGACAGTTGGATCAGATGATCTTAGAGGTCTTTTCCAGCCTTAATGATTTTGTATTACTGGCAGATACTGATGGGTTCGGTCACAGTCACTCATGGCACAGAAGAACCACAAATCTGTACCCTTAGTCAATATGTTCTGAAGCAGGGATTTGTCCATAAATGCAGCCTCCTTCTCCCCAAATGCAGGTTAGGCCTAAGTAATACTTTGCAGACCTTAAAAATCAAAGCAGTTTTGTCTTGTTTTTGAAGATGTGTATTGGATTCTGAAATGGAATTACAGTTAACACCCAGCCACATCTCTGGAACAGTAATGTGCAGTACTGATGTCTAATGACTGCACTTCTTCCCTGTAGGAATCTGATAGCTGTGGATACAGATGAGATGAAACACAGATTCAGGCAAGTACATCATCATCTGATTTTCATTAGTGCTGAGACATTCCACCCTCTTGGACTTCCGTGTAGGTGGTGGACCCAGCTACTTCATCAAACACAAGGGCATTTACTCAGTTTCTTATTTTCTTCCTGTTTCTTCAGGCTACCTGAGAAAGCTGCTGAATACATAACAAGGTAGCACTAAAATATTCTATTGCTCATAATCTCCTTATATACCCCTTGTCAGTAATACAACATGTAGACATTCATTAAAGTTATGGTCTGTTGCACTTGTTTTCTTAAATGAAAAGCTTTCAATCAGCTTTACAAACACGTATTTTTTGTCCTAAACAACAGTATCATCTGGCTGTTAAACCTTCTTTAAAAATCAGCATTTATTTTTGACTGTGTGAACATATTGTTCCAAACTGGCAAGAACTGCTCATTTACATCTTTTAACATCAACAGAATACTAATTTATAGTAAACAGTCTTTATTACTAACAAGAATGTGCTGCTGAAAACTCTGCTAATTAGCAAAAGAGACTCTCAGTTCTCTGCTAGCCTGAGTGGGATGAGCCACAGATTTTTGATAAAGAGGATGAATTACAATTGCATCCTATCAAATAGAGCATCCCCAAACAGTTATGCTGCACGATCTTTGAAACCTAATTTTGGCCTCAAAGCATTTGGGAATGGGATGGAGGGGGTTTAGAACAATCTGTTATTTGAAATAAATAGCTCTGAAAATGCTTACAGCTCCTCAAATTAAAATAACCTCTGCCAAACCTACTGCCCTGAGCCACTGCAGAAACCAGTAAGAATGGGCCAGACTTATTCCCCATCAGGTTTAACTTTAAGATGAGAACTACCATGAGGGGCAGAGGGCAACGTAAACCCCTCCTTGTACCAGCTCTTTTAACTTCAGAAGTGCTCAGATGAATATATATATTTTAGGATTTGTCACACATAGCATGTATCAAAGCCAAACTTAAATGTAAGTGAAATTGTGTCAGAATTATTAATTCAGTGCCTGTAGGGGAGTTTACCTCTCTAGTAATCCTATGTCATTTTTTTTACCTAGGTCATTTTTCTAGATTCCAGATTTGCAGTCAGCAAGGACATCTCCTAATACCAAGGACAAAATTCCCAAACCCAAATCCTCTCTGGACAAGCCAAGCGTGCGAGCAAATATCAAAGAAGAGGGAAAAATAATATAAAAAAAGAAACCTGTTCATTAACATCAGAGCTGCTTTGTAGCTGTTTTTGTTAATGCCTGTGATGTTAGCAGAACCAAGCCTACCCCTCAGCAAAAAAATCTGCCTTTGATTTCACATCTCTTAGGAATATTTGGGGGGAAAAAAAAACCCTTGCTGAACACACGTGCAAGATACAAACTACATTTGTTGCAGACCTTGTGGGTTGTTTGTTTGTTTGTTTTTAAGCCTGAGGATAAGCTCTGCTACCACAATGTTTCTGGAAAATTAATTCATTTTCTTCAATTATCTGTTTAAAAAGACAAAGGATCACAAACTGGCAGTGAAGCAAGCAGCTTCCCCTCACCTCTCAATAAAAAAGAGAGCAGTGCACAAAGGTTTCTGACTTCAGAACTCTGGATATAGATGACCTTTGCTGTTAGCTTTGTGACACTTACTGTTATTCCCACACTATCTGGCTTCCAAAACAAACAGAACTTCTGAGCCTCATCTATGCCTGGAGAACCT